GCTCAGACATAATTTTAAACTCTATAATGCACTGAACATGCTCTTAAAAACGCTATCAATTGGGACCAACAGATGGCAAAATGGCTACATCGCTGGACTCCCATGTATTCGACCGCAATTCGAGTCCTGGACCGGCTGGCTTAAACTTACGCTGGGTGCATGTGCATGCATGCCCAAGATGCTGAGAGGAGAACGGAGAAGGGATTGCAGCGTGGCCATCCCCCCAGGGGGTGATTTCTCACTTTCTGTCTTTCTGTCTCTGACGAGCGCACTCACTCTATAGCAAAAACCTCTTCACACACACACACGCACACACACACACACAAAAACGCTATCAATTGGCGTGGTGGTTGAGGCACTGGACTCCCACGTGGCTCACTGCAATTCAAGTTCCAGACCCAGTCTTCCTCTATTTCTCTTGGGTGAGAGAAACACCCTATAACAAATTAAAAATAATTAATTTAAAATAACTATTAAAAAAGATATAAATCTAGGTTACCATTTATTTTTCAAAAAAAAAGCTCATCTTTATTCACTTGAAAACTATAGCTATGTTTCAAAAGCTGTCTTTCATATGTATTTGAACTCTAAAAAGTTTATCAACAATTAAAAAGTTAAACTTCTGGGACAGATTGTGGTGTTGCAGTCATGGAGGCTGGATCCACATGGCCAACTGAGCAGTTTGAGTCCCAGCCCCAGTGGCTTGAGAAACATGCCAGGCATGTGTGCATGGGTGCCCAGAATCCCACATGGAGGGTGTGGGGAGGACTGTGGCATGGCCATCCCTACGGGGGTGCTTCCTTACTTTCTCTCTCTCTCCAGCCACCACATGTCCCTTACCGCAAAATTAGGGAAAAAAAAAAATGAAGAAGATGAAGTTCAACTTCTAAGGTAATATTGAACATTGATAAATATTTGTAATACTACAATAATCATCTTCACCACTAAGAATACCTACTAAAAAAAAATCAAGTTATTACAACAGCAATTTCTTAAAAGGCTGATGTTTTAAGAAATATTAACTTAGGCCACAGTGGTTAAGCACTGCACAGAGGAACCCAGATCCCACATGGCTGAAAAACACCTGATAGAAACAGAGAATTGGAGTAAAAAGGATTGAGTGGGACCACCAGACCCCATGGGCAGAGACCAGGGCCCACGGGCAGTGCTCTTTCTTTCTCTCTCTCTCCCTCTCTCTCTCTCTGTTTTTGAAATTGTTTTGCTATAGGGCACATGGGCTCACTGGAGAGACAGGCAAAAAGTGAGAAATCAATTTTTGGCTAAGCCGCAATCCCTTCTCCCCCATTCTCCTCTCAGGATTTTGGGCACACACCTGCTCGGTGTGAGTTTCAAGCACTGGGTCCAGGACTTGAACCACAGTCAGCCATGCAGGAGTCCAGTGACATAACCATTAACCATCTTGCACTCCTTACTTCTCCCTCTTGTGCACACTACCTCTGGAGTTAAAATAATTTTCCCTTTATTTTCTTATATTATTTTTTAAAGAATTATTTATTCAATTTCATTTATTTGTTAATTTATTTCGGTTTGACCTGAGAGAGAGAGAGAGAGAGAGAGAGAAAATGAGAAAGCAAGCCACCAGGTCTGGGAGTCAAGCTGTGGTCGGCCATGTGGAAGTGTCCAGCACCTTAACCACCATGCCACCTTCTGGTCTTTTTTATTATTATTACTTTTTTTTTAAAGATTTTATTTTATTAAAAAAAAAGATTTTATTTTATTCATTGTCACTATTTTATTTTTTAAAAATTTTATTGAAATTGACCAGAGAGAGGCAGAGAGAGAAAAGGAAAGGGAGAAAGCAAGCCGACAGGTCTGGGACTCAAACCATGGTCAACCATGTGGGAATCCAGCCATCTTAACTGCCACACCACCTGTTGGCCCCTATATTATTTTTTTACATCCAATCACCATTTATCTTTACAGCACAGAAAATTAAATTTCCCAGCATGAATATACTATATATTAATCCATTCAAAGTTATTATCATACACTTTATCATTAATAAGTAATTTTCCACTTTTGTGTCCATTTAATGTTTTGCTTTTTGCCCCTTGATTCCCTTCCTCCCACTCCCATTTCATATATTTTTTAGTAATGAAAAAAAGTTACAAGGCATTGCTCATGATCCGGGTGGTAACAGCTCTGCTCCTGCTAGGGAAACCTATTTAATGGTAAAATAATTCTCTACTTGCTTCAAATAGAAAGATTATATCAAATCCTTAGAAGTAAATCAATACATGATACCAAATTTGATCCCAAGGTAAGGTAAAGATACACAGGTTACTGGGACCAGCAGTTGGCATAATGGCTATGTTGCTGGACTCCCATGTAGGTGACCATAGTTCAAGTCCCAGACCTGGTGGCTTAAACTCATGCTGGGTGCATGTACATGTGTGCCCAAGATCCTGAGAGGAGAATGGAGAAGGGACTGTGGTGTGGCCACACCCCCCCACCGCCCCCAGCCCCCCATGATTTCTTGCTTTCTGTCTCTTTTTCTGTCAAGCGCATACACCCTATAGCAAAAACCTCTCAAAAAAAAAAAAAAAAAAAAAAAACAAGGGGACACGAAACATACGTAATGGCTATGTCGCTGGACTCCCACGTAGTCGACAGCAGTTCGTGTGTCCCGGACCCGGTGGCTTAAAACTCACGCCAGGCGCGTGTGTGTGCGTGCCCAAGATCCCGGGAGGAGAATGGAGGAGAAGGGATTGCGGCGTGATCATCCCCCCTGGGGGGTGATTTCTCGCTTTCTGTCTCTATGTCTCTCTCTGTCTGTCTGGCGAGCGCACGCGCCCTACAGTGAAAATCTCTCCAAAAAAAAAAAAAAAGATACACAGATTACTAAAACATACTATTTGTATATTAGCATAACAATTTTATCTGCAGTCTCAGGATTTTACCTAGACTAAAAAAATAAAGAAAAAGACTTCAGATAGCTAATGTTTTTCCATAAAAACTTCAGTTAAACAGTGAGCTAGTGCCTCATTTCTAATTTTCCTATAGTTTACATAGTTTCAAATTATTTAATTGCCTCACATAATACAGCTGGTTAGTCAATATTTGTTAGCTGTAGATCAGCGCTAACTACTAAAACCCATAGTTAAAGAAGAGTTAATCTAGAGGTTTTCCAGGGTCATAGGACATGCCTGGAGATGTTTCTGTCACAGGGCAGGGGAGGTGTAGGTGGGAGAGGGTGCTACTGGCACCTAGTGTGTAGGAGTCAGGGAACTGCTAACACCCCACCCTGCACAGACAACCCCGATGACCAAAAGCAAAAGTGAAAAGCTAACAGTGCTGGGAGTAAGAAGGGTTGAGAGGGTCCTGTTCAGGCATGCAAACCCATGCCACACAGCAAGCCCAGTGCTAGGAGCCAGGACTAGAGGCTGAGCAGCATGGACTTTATGGACTTTTGAGTCCCAGAGACCTGTTCATCATTTACCAGCACTGCAACCTTGGGCAACCTGCCTAACCATTCTGTTCCAAACAGTGAATTTACTTATCTCAGTTCCCCCAGGTCATGAGATAATACACACTCCAAGCCATTAAGAGATATTTAACTAAAAACAAAGGAGGTGCAAGCTAGTGAGATGGTGATTGGAGCAGATAATCCCACAGGGGTGGACCGTGCAGTTTACGCCCCAGACCTGATGACTTGAGATACACTCTGTGTGTGTGCACACACGTGTTTGAAATCCCTAGAGGAGAATGGAGGAGAAGGGAATGTAGCCCCCCAGGGACTGATTTCTCAGTTTCCCTATCTCTGTCTCTATCACTCTCCAGAGTGTGTGTGTGCCCAAAATTCCAAGAGAAGAATGAAGAAGGGACTGTCGTGTGACCATCCCCACTGGGCATGCTTTTCTACTTTTCCTCTAACCTCCACTTCTGTGCGTGCACATACCCGTAGCAAATTTAAAAATATATAAAATTTTTAAAATAATAAAATAGGGACCAGCAAGTGGTGTGGTAGTTTAAGTGCTGGACTTCCAGATGGTCAACCGTGGTTCTAGTCCTGGGCCTGGTGGCTTGCTTTCTCGCTTTCCCTTTCTCTGTCTGATCAAATTAAAAGATAACAAATGGAATTAAATAAATGGATAAATTCTTTTTTAAAAAATTACACTGGGTGCATGTGTGCGCATGCCCAAAATCTGTAAAGGAAAATAAAGGAGACAGGACGGCAGCTTGACCAGCCCCCCACCCCCATTGATCTCTCAATTCTCACTTGGCCAACCCCCCTAGGGGTTGATTTCTTCCTGCGAGATGATTTCTAACTTTTCCTCTCTCTGTCTCTCTCAGCAAGCACACATACCCTATGGCAAAGTAATAATAATAAAATTTAAATTTAAAAAGACCATGAGAAGACAGGATATGACGCATGCCAGAAGATTGAACTTTCCAAAAGAAAATAACAAATCTATAAATCCTCAGTCAATTATTAATAAATTCCAGAGAAGTGTATTAAGAAACATTTTTCAAAAGAAGTTTCAAACACGCAGAGAACTGTCAAGACAAAGGAAAAAGACATTTATGAGGCAGTAACTGAAACCTAATGGAACAGATGGCTGTAAAGAGAACTTGGAGGTGTTGAAATGGACAGCTGGGACTGAGCGGGAGACTGCACACTGCCAGTACCAAGACTGCAGCGCTCTCACCGGATACCGGCTTTGTCAGTCCCAAGTTTATTTCCTTCTAACTGCTATCAGAGACTCCGTGAAGACTGAGACTGCCTGGGAAAAGGCTGCAGACGGGGACACACGTAACACAGCCTGCCAACGAGCACAAGGGACCCGCCGACACCGGCAGTCAGTGGCCCCTGCTTTAATTCCCTCGGATTAGTGAGAAGCACGTGGGGAGGACTGCGAGCTCCCTGGAAAAGTGACACCGGGCACATCCAGAGAATTAGGTTACAGCACAAAGGAGTAACAGGACAACGGGCCACTTTCCGGGGTCTTAGCAGTGTGGCTGATGGGCAGCATACAGACCCTGTTTCTTCTGTGGAAGCCAGACCCAGGTCACTCCGGCCTCTTCTAGGTCTGCCAAGTGATGGATGACAGTTCGGAGCTGCCTGGCAGAGCACACCCAGGGGGGTGGAAAGGAGCCAAGAACACTGGCCCCTCTCACTGCAGGCACCAGGCCTGTGCTGAGGCCACTCCAGGAGAGGGGTTACCTAGTGCTCACTGGGAGGGTTCCAGGTGTGCAGCTCAAACAAATGAGAGCACTGCGGCCCTGTGCCTACCTGCCTAGAGCCCAGAGCAGTGGTCCTTTCCGCTACTCGGATTCACTGACCAGACTTCAGCTCTCCCCTCAGGGCCATCCACTGAATTCTTGGATATGCATTCTGGTACAACATCTAAGGACCTGTTCTCAAATGCCCAGAGCCCAGAACTGGTTCTCCAGCTGTTGGAATAAAGCAGGGTGCCCTACTTTAATACAAAATCTGGGAATTGCCTTCATTCGCAAGGTGAGCCTAAACATTTCTCAAGGCTTTTTCAATGGGTCCTGCCTTTAAATTCCCAAATGCGTTAGCACCGTCTCTTCACAATGTATCTTCATCTGAATCCTTTAAATGGGAGGTCGCCAGGATCGTGGAAAAGCACAGATGAAAGTAGTTGTCTATGCATGCCTGGCTTTGGAAGACTAAAGGGGCATCAAACAGTAAGTCAGCCACAGAGCCAGGACACGGGTGCACCCACTCCAGCCGGAGGAAGTCCTGGCTTCGCAGCTGGCGTTTCACAGACGAAAAGGTTTGGGCAGACGGAACCAATTCCATCCTGCGGCTCCAGAAAGGGGGAGAGCTGACACTGATCCAGAGCGGGAGCAGGGCCGTTATCTGGAAATCTTAATAGACACTGAGTCACCCTTCGACCGCGCAGTGAATGGGTCCAAACCAGAACCAGCACCTCGGAACTGATCACGATTCTGCTCATCTGTTGGAACATTCGGAGAAACCAAGATCCCGGGCAGGGTGCCCCCAAAAGGCAGGACTCAGGTGGGGCGGAATTCCCCAACTTCTCTCCTAGCGTCACGAAACTGAAGTCGAAAGCTTCCATTCACTGGAGACCACGAGCACAGAGTGTTAAGCGCGAGCTTCGCGCCAAGTTCCTGCCGGCACAACTCGCAGACGCCAAGCCCGCGCTTCCCCTGGGTGGCCTGGGGGGCGAGTCCGCGTCTCCCCGCGCGAGGCCGGGAGCCGGGTGGGCGAAAAGGGCCCTGGCCGGCGGAGGCGGGCCAAGCCCCGGGCCC